TGCCCTGTGAGCCCACAGTCCTCCTATTCTCCAGATTGTCATCCACCTCCAGTGCCCGTGAGCCCACAGGCAGTCCTCCCTATTCTCCAGATTGTCATCCACCTCCAGTGCCCGTGAGCCCACAGGCAGTCCTCCCTATTCTCCAGATTGTCATCCACCTCCAGTGCCCTGTGAGCCTACAGTCCTCTTTATTCTGTCTCTCACGGTTTCCTGGCCTTCATTTCTAGTTCCTACACACAGCGGTTCTGAACTGAGAAGTTTCCGGAATGCTGCCGCCATTGCAGCTCTTCAAGATGAAGCTCAGCTAACTCTCAACAGCTACATCCACACCAGGTGACCGCTATTTGCTGTGAACATGTACTTAAGAAAATTGCCTCCATTGTGAGTGTTCCAGCAGGCAGTAAGAAGCCAGTTCAAACACTGTGACTAATTATCCTGTTGCCAGCCAGTTAATTTAGTTAGAATCCGTGTCCTCACCTGTCTCTGGGAGGAGGGCGAGAAGGGCAAATTGAATTAGGTGATGAGAGAGAAGGGCTTTGCCAGGCACAGCAGGCTATGCCGGCTGAATGAGCTGACCAACAAAAGGAGCTGCTCATATTTGTGAGTCTGGGCATGGAGGGAGTCAAAAAGCAGCCAGGTCTGAAACACGGTTGCTAGATTAGAAAGTGTTCCGATAATCCTTGGACAGGTACCCTTCTTTAGAGGCAAACCCCAAGTTCAAGGAACGCAGGGCTTCACAAGACCATCTTGGCTCTGGCCCCCACTATTGCTTGGGTTTGGTGATTGGTGTCTGCTGAGCTATCTGGGGTCCCACCACCCACCACACTACTTCTGTCTGGGTAGGGTCCTCTGACTGACATTGGAAATCGGTAGAAACTCTTAGAAACTCTCCAGCATGGGAGCTCAATAAAGTTCCCCCAACCCAGCACCAGTGTGAGCTTCCTGATTCCATTTTCAGAAGAAACGAGGCAGGTTTTTAAAGGAGTAATGAAACCTCTCAAGCTTCCTAGGTTGGGACTGCAATGGATCTGAGATTGGGAATAGAATTCAAAAGGGATTCATGGAAGTCTGTCTCCATCACTTCAACACTAGCCATAGACACCATGGTGGTGTCCATAGACACTTCTATGGACAGAGGCCGTTAAAGTCTCCCTCACCCGAGGGGTCAGAGAGATCCCAAGTCAGCAGTACCTGTGGGCGCTAGAAGCTCCTTATTTCGGTCACAAATCACCCTTTGGATGCTGAACGAGTGAAATTGTTCCGTGTTTATAAAATACCATTGAAATGGCATTGCTTGGTAGCTCATGTAAATATGCTTTTTCAAAGTAAAGTTCGATGGCTGGGAAATTTAAAACCCACCTTGAACTATAGTATAATAATTGCAGACACTTAATTTTGTAATTCAGATTCACAAAATGAAACCATACATAATCTGGCCATCAAAGCTGACTGTGTACCACAGCTAACCTTTGGCACTCAAAGCCTGGAGAATATTCAGAACACTAACCAGAGAACATGGAACTTGGTTTTTGATTCAACCAGGCCTTTGCTAGGGAGTCACCATCCATAGGCGAATGATGCATTATCAGAAAGAACTAGGCGAATTGTGGGAAGTGGGCAGAAACGTCGCTTCACTCAGGAAAGGGGAGGCCTGAGCTCTAATTGGAAAAGAGTGAGGAAGGTCCTGGAAGGAGATGGTGTGTGAAATGGGCCTTGCATGGCGGAGGGATTTCAGTAGGGAAGGGAAGGTGCAGCTCCAGGGGCTGAAGTCTGCCCGAGATGTGCTGGAGGTGTTCCGTAAGCTTCTGCAGAGATAAGCAGGGAGACTCTGAAGTGACCTGGGACTCCAGAGCTGCTGACAGGGTGGCCTGGGAGAATCCCACCGCAGATGATCACAGTCTGTTGTTGAGACACAGTGAGGACACCGCAGCTCACCCTCAAGTATCTGAAGGTGACTGGAAGGTGTCTGCTTTGTCATGGAACTTCCAGCTCACAGTATCAGCTGGAACTATAAAATGTCTAGAGTCAGATACATGACAAAAGAACTGTTCCTTTTTGTCTTGGCTCTTTCAAATCAGTGCACACTCTAAGGATGTTCCTACCTGGAAAAACAACACGTGAAATGGAAAAGTTAACATGCAAACTTACATATCTGTTAGTGTTTTATAATCAACTGCGCTAGTTATCCAGGATATATGGAGCTGGCTAGGAACTGGAATATTACAACGCCATAGTCGAGCTTCAGATCCTGAATCTGTGATAGGCACAAAACATTTAGAATGTTAATGGGTGAAATCAGGGGTACATATTCTACAAAATAATTAAAAATGTATCTTTATTCTTTAATAATTTCAAATCCATTCCCATTCACATCTCCCTCCCAATTTCATGCACTCTTTAAAAACAAAAGAAAACAAAGCAAAGCAAACCCCACCAAGTCCAATTGGTAGAGCCTGCATGTGCTAAGGCTGTCCTCTGGAGCACAGGCAACGTACCGGAGGCTGCTTCCCTACAGGAAACTGTGCTCCTCCTCCCAGCATCCATCAGCTGCCAAAAGCTCCTCATCCAGGGTCATCCAGGGGTGAGATTTCTCGAGCCCTTCCCCATTCACATTGGGATTTCGGCTGACTTGATTTTATTCAGGTCTTACGCACACAGCCACAGCCACTCTGAGTTCATATGTTCAACGGGACTGCATGTCTAGAAAACACAGATTCAAAATGGTCTCCTGCAGCCTCCGGCTCTTCCTGTCACTCCACCCCACTTCCAAAATGAGCCCTGGGGTGTGTGGTATGGATATCCTGATGATGGCTGAGTGCTCCTCAGTCTGATTCTCTACAGTCGATCGGTTGTGTGGGTCTCTGTACTAAGCGTGGTATACTGGAAGAAGCGGCTCCCCTGATGAAAGTAAGAGCTGCACTAGTCTATGGCTACACAGGAAAGTATTTAGAGAGCGGTTTGATACCGTGTCCATTTTGCAACACAATAAGGTAGACGCTCCCTCAGGCCCAGGTTCTTAGCACAGTTGGCAGTCCCAGGCATGACTTCATCTTGTGGAGTGGTCTTTATAACCTTGAGCAGTCAGACACCCTGACGCATGCGCTGGCATTGTTTCTAGGTGGCACTCTACTCCAAGTATGATAAGCCCTTCCTGTTGACTAAGTGACCAGCTCTTGCCCAACTAGAGAATAAAAGAGGTGGGAGAGAGGAGTGGAGAATCCACCTGCAGACAATCAGGAGTTAACTCCTGGGCTTGGAGGCAGTTCAGTGGCAGAACACTTGATTGCCTCGCACGCAAAAGGCTCTGGGTTCATCTCGGCATGCCGAGACAATCAAACCCACGCAAGGCGGTTTAATTGTCCGTGGTTTCTGGATTCTCCCGAATCCATCCTTTCCAGCCTGTGTTATTTCCTGCAACAGTTTCCCGTCACGGGAAAGGTTCTGCATGTTGGGTGGATGCCACAGACACAGCAGTGACTGTCTAGGCATCCGCTGCCACCTCAGCTCTGCGGAGCTCTCTCTGGGAAAGGAAGCTGTCGCGGAAGAGAGAAGCAGCTAAAGCTGAAGGAAGCCGGGCAGATTGCTCAGAGAAGATGTTCAGGTGTCTTGCTTTTCTAGTTGTCAGAGCTATTGGCTGGTGTTTTTGTTCGGTTGGGCTTCTTTTGGTTGTTGTTGGTGGTGGTCTGAGAGAGCCTCATGCTATAAGCTGGGCTGGCCTGGATTCACTATTACTATGTAGTCCAGGCTAGTTTTGAAATCATGGCAACCTTCCTGCCTCAACTTCCTGAGTCCTCATATTTCCGTATGAAGCACCACCTCTAATGTTTTTATTTTTTACTGTAGATAAGCATCCTTATTTCCACCCCAACTTATTAAGTGTCATCGGGTGCCCTGCCCAAGAGTCCCTATGAAAGTTGATTATGTGAGAGCCGAACAGGGTGGTCAGAGTGAATTCGAAGCTTTATGTCTGGCTGAGCAGAGTTCTTCTTCATCCAGACCTAAGAGACAAGTGTAGAATTGTCCTAGACTGTCTCTGTACGGTGGGGCAGTCAGGCAATTAAACACAGTTAACAAGTCCTGCAGAGGAATTTGATGCCTCTCAGTTTCCAGCACCTGTGGCCTAGGGGGAGCATGGTTCAGTCACACGTGTGTCCCTGCCGCTCACTTTAAGATGACCTTTTCCCAGTGGCAGGACTCTGTCCTGTAGAGGATGTTGACGCCCAGCTTCAAGCCATTGACTGGAGTAGCACCAGGGCATGAGAGGTGGGGTACAGCATCTAAAGACCGCGGGAATGGAACACGTACATCTGAGTACAAATGTGTGTTGGGCATCAAGTAAGGAAATTGTTAAGCAATTTCTCCCGTCTTTAATTATGTGCCAATTTCATTGACATGAAAGCTGGGTGGCACTGCCGCCCAACAGGACTCAGTCTTTAATTTGCAGTGTAATAAGGGCGGAATTATTCCTGAGAGTGACAAAGTATAATGCCTGAATAATAATTGGGAGAATTGCTTTAAAAAAGAAACCATTTTATTTGAGAGGAATAGTCTGTTCAAGAGCGTTGAGAATTTAAAAATATGAATTCCCACCGCAGGCTTCATAATCAACCCTATGGTCATTCCCCACAGTGATAACGTGTGACATTTATTCTTTGCTTTAAAATTAGCATCAGGTGTCTTAAAGCTGATTTGTCTAGAATTGAAAATGTACTCCCCTTGCTGATGTTGAGAGAGAGAGAAAGAGAGAGGAGAGACTGAGCACATGTGATTCAGGCACTGCCGGTTTCCAGAATTCCAGCAGTCTACCTGTGAAACAGGCACAGAGGCATCTGTACCACAGTCGGCTGCAGCATGCTCCTGCAGCAACCTACAGCATGTTACTGAAGAGGTTCCGGTCAGGAAGGCATCCTGGGTTGCTGTGTGTTCAGGTATGAGATGGCTTCCTGTTTGTGCGGGCTCTGACATCGCTTTCGTGGCTTCTCCCATTGCAGATACCCCACGCAACCCTGCCGCTTTGGGAAGCTCCTGTTGCTTTTACCAGCTTTACGTTCAATTAGCCCATCCACCATAGAGGAAGTATTTTTCAAAAAGACCATCGGCAACGTGCCGATTACAAGACTGCTTTCAGATATGTACAAGTCCAGCGACATCTAAGCTCTTTAGCACCCGCTTTCCAAGGTGGGGCAGTAGCGGACGGACATCTGCCTTGCAGGACAAGCCTCAACTAACAAACCCTCCTGGAAGGAGAAACCTGGGGAAAACAATGCCAGTGGACACAAAACACTAGCTATGACCTGCTGCTCCACGGAAGTGGTACACACACTGTTGCCATGCCCTGGGGTGGGCGACCTGGGGCCACCACAGGCCACGCCAGTCATTCTGCCTCTGACCCGGAAGATCCGGCTGAACTCTTCCAAGTGGAAAGACAAGTCCCACTTCCTTTTCCCTTTTAGCACACGAAGTCAGCTGATCAACAATAGCTTTGTGTAACATCATCCTGCGGCCTTCAGAACTCGGTCGGGTTGGAGCATCTACTTTAAAAATAATGCCTAGGTTTTAAATCAAAAGTATTATCAAAAAAAATTTCCCCTCTATCATAATACTTCATTAAGTGGCCTTCAGAACCAAGTGAGTAAGTGAAACGTAGCTTGTGCTGTGTAATTCCCCCGCCCCCTCCCCTGTTCCGTTCTTTCTCCTTCTTTTCTTAGCACCACGGGCCAGGCAACCTCATCTAAGGAACAGACGACCAAAAGGAGTTTCCCACCAAGACTTCCGGTTGGACAGCATCTCGAAGCAGAAGACCTCTACAGAAAGAACCTTAGTCCAGGCAGGAGAACTCCAAACAGCAAAACCAAATCCGGCGGAGCCAGGAGACTGGTGAGGCTGGTCGCTGTCCCGCCGCCACAGTGCTGAAGCCCAAGGCTGCAGGGACAGCAAGTCACACCAGACCGTCCATGAACATGCAAGCCAGAAGGAACTTCAAGGAGGTGCATGCTAAACAGGTTCCTGACCACTCCGTTGCTCACAGCCTGGGACTCTCGAATGCCTTTCAGAAAATCCTGGTTTCTAATAAAGCCTCAAATGCATATACACACACACCACATCGTCCTACGCACTACGCTGCTCCTTGGGTATGAATCTATACTTACGGAAATGTAGAAACAACCCTTTTTAAATAGCTGCTGTCCTTTTCACATTTATTAGGTACTAGCACCAAGGGGAGGGGGGAAATTCAGCACTTGGACTAGCATAGGATGAGTAGAACTTCTCTTGTACAGAGTGAATTAACTGATTTGTGAAGTTAAAAGGTTGTACTCATTGTATTTACAAAGAATAAAAATATATTGAATTTAAGTAAATTCTGCCTGGTTTCTTTCCCACCTCCCTGGATCGTTCCTCCCTGTCAGCAACAAGGTGGCTGTGGCCCCAGCTGGGATAAAAACCAAAGCTTGGAGCCCTCCAGCACGGAGCAGAAAGAACTGAGCTACAAAGGCAATTTCCTTTTTACAGTGAAACCCATTTGTAAAATGATGAATAAAGAAATAAAACATAAGATCTCATTCTCCGCGGCACTCAGATGTAATTGCATCTGTTAGGAAAATTGCTGTGTGAGGAAGAACAAGGCCGATGAACGGTCCTTCATTCCCTACGCGTCCTGACCAAGAGCTGCAATCACTGTACCGGCGAGAAAAACAGGGAGGGAGCAATAGGAAGGTCATGCGGAAGTCCCAGGAGATCTGAGAGAAATGCCCTTCTGCTGGAGCCCCAGGGTGAACTTGGGGCTTGTAGGTAGCAGGCCAAGCAAGAGTCGGTACGCCTCTCTTCTTGGCTGAAAGTGACCCTGCAGATAGGATGCATGGAAGGGCAACCATCCCTGCCTTGTCTGCTGATGCTTCAGAGAATGGGAGTCTATCTTGAACTGGTAGCACAGCAGTAGGAGACTTTCCCATTGTTCTCACGGCTCTGGGGTCTAGACCCAGGACCTTATAAGAACAAAAGGTCTTCAGACAAGTAAGTAAGAGCATCCCTCCATCTCTATATGTCTCACAACTCAAATGCCCATCAACAGAGAATAGACACGCCGTAGCAGATAGGGAAAGACTAGACCCATGTTTAACTGGGGGTAAATTATCAGAGTTGTGGAGGAGAGAGGAGCGAATTGTATGGGATACACATGACTTGGGATCATTTATATAATCTGGCAACCTCCAGACCACATACTCTTGTAACCGTTTAAATGTTGGAGTGAACATTTAATGCAAGCATGGGAGAATTAAATGCTAACTCTTTGGAGACAGGTCAGATCTGGGAAGTGATAAGATCGGTACAGAGTAACAAGAGGACCTTCAAACATCTGTATAATGGCTTAATTATTAAGAAACAAAATCAGAAATACCTGTGAGATCCAAGACAAGACCTGACAATACTGGCTGACTGACTCGGTTGTTTATCCATATATTAGTCAGGTTTTTGCTTCAGTGCTGCTAGGTGACAATTCCCAAAGACTAAATAAATAAAAGGTCCAACCTCTGTCATCTGATGGAAGGAATATGTCTGAAAAGTAAAATAAATAACCTTAGCAGATTTAAAAACAAAAACTCATCTGTCAGATGAGTCACTGAAGCTTTGTTAATTTGACTTGAGCTGGGTTTTATTGTTGTTTGTTGGAGGCAATGCCTTGCTGTGTAGCCCTGGCTAGCCTCCTCAAAATCACAATCCTCCTGCCTCAGCCTCCACAGTACCATGCTTTCAGGCATGTGCCACCACACACTGAAATCCAAGAGGGTTGGGTCTGGGGCTCAGTTCCAAGAGTGCCTGCCTAGCGTGTATGTAGTCCTGGGTTTGAGCCCCAGCACTGCGTAAGCAGAAAGTGTTTCAGCACATGAAGAATCTTGGCACTGGGTGGGGGAGGCAGGCAGAAAACAGTAACTCTTGGCTACTTAGCAGTTTGGAAGCCATTCTGGGCTCTGTGAAAAACCTATTTCAGGAAAAAAAAAAAAAAGTATGGGAAGACGCCCATCTTCTCATCTTGAGGCTGCCCCTGCAGAGATTCCAAAGCGAAGGAAGAGATGTTGCTCTCTGGACTGATGTGCTCAGGATTTTTGCATAAGTTAAGAGTCTGATTTGATTCTCATTTGAAATAGCAGAGACTTGGCCCTGAATCAAGGTCATCAGTTTGCTGGAACTGGTGGTTTCAAGCAGGAGCCTAAAGAAATGTCTTTCTATGGTCTGTTGGCCATTTCAGAAATTTGGAAATCTAATGGTCAATTCATTAGAAAGAAACAAACTGGCTAGAAGAAAAAAAAGAAAAAGAAAAAAGAAAAAAAAAGTGAAATAGCAGAGAGAACCAAAACAAAGACATCCTGGTGAGAACCCATGTTCTGTGGCTTGTCATACAAATCTTGTTCCTCTTCAATATTGGTTCATCTTTAATATTACAAGAACACTCGGGAAGATTAAGATAGATTACAATTGTACTGGGTATTATTAGGATGCAGTTCGTCCTCTCCCACCCACCCGGAAGGGAGCTCATTCTCCCCTGAGCTTAGATTTGACCACGGATCTAGGCTTGGCCAGTGGAAAGTAAACTGACTCAAGAGCCTCACATTATTTCATTGCTATCTCAAGGCTTTAAATCTAATTTAAGATACCATGAATTGAACGCACTGGCCAGAGACTGGACATTGCTGCCTTCCTTGAGCTCCTTTTGTTTTCAAGAGGGGCCTCCTATGTAGCCCAGACTGGCCTCAAACTTCTGACCCTCCTTTCTTACCTTCCGCAAGCTGGGATTACAGGTATGTCCTGCCATGTCTGGCCCTTGATTATTTTCATTGAAACAGGAGCACTCTTTACTTTTCTCATGTGTCTAGCTGTCCCCTGGCTGTCCCCTGGCTGTCCACCTAGTTGGATCTCTTCCAGTGTAGCTGCTTTGGTGTCTTGGGTTTCAATGGCTGTGATAAAACACCATCACCAAAAGTACCTTGGGGGAGGAAAGGGCTTATTTCCTCTTATAACTCTCAGGTTAAAGTTCATCACCAAAGGAAGGCAGAGCAGGAACTCAAGGAAGGAACTGAGGCAGATGCTATGGAGAAACCATGCTTGCTGATACACAGGATTTACCTGCCCTGGGGTAGCACTGCCCACAGTGAGCTGAGCCCTCCAGTGTCAGTCACCAATCAAGAAAATGTCCCACAGGCCATGTAGCGGGGGCATTTCCTCAAATAAGGTTCCCTCTTCCCAAATGACTGTAGCTTGTGTCGAGCTAACATAGAATAGCAGGCACACTGGGTATCCCATATTAGAGATGGTTCTCTGATTACCTCTTTGTTGATTGACCTGGGTTGTTTGCAGGTTTTCACTACACCACACTAAACTGCAAAGAACCAAACTTCTATATATACTTTTTGTGCCTTTGCAGGGTATTTCTGCCGGATAAAGTCTTAGAGTGGTGTTTCTGGGTCAAAGATTATATGCATTTTTAATTTTGATGGATACAGCCAAATGGCTCTCCAAAAGGGTTGTATCAATTTGCACTCCTGCCAAGAGGGTCTGAGAGGGCCCATTTCTCTGCTCAGATTTTAAAAGTGCTTAATCAGACAAAGGCTTGATGAACACTTCAGAAGCTGTTAGAAAAAATACAGAAAAATGCATATGTTCCCATCATGAATATGCCTCCGATATGATGCTATTGCTCTGGCTAAGTGGGTCCTGCCCGGCCCCCATGGTCAGAGTTGCGTTGCTAGGCCACTTCTGTGAGCCTGAGGAATGTCCATGTCACAGTGAAGGTCGGGAGAAAGCAGGTGAATGCAGACAAAGATGCAGTTCGGCTTGTGTCTTCTACTGCTAAGGTCTTGCCACACAAGCCAACCTACTTGGGGCTGGAGCGTCACTTGGTGGTAAAATGCATGCCTACTGTGTGTAAGGCCCCGGGTTCAGTCTTCACTGCTCCAACAAACAGAATACCAGATGCTTGTTTAAAGCGAACATTTACAAAACAATCACCTCTGAAATCACAATCTCTCTCTCTCCTTCCCTCCCTCCCTCCCTCCCTCCCTCTCTCTCTCTCTCTCTCTCTCTCTCTCTTCTCTCTCTCTCTCTCATAGGGGAGAGGGACAGTGGATGGATGGTGGGGGGGCGAGGGAGGGGGATGGAAT